GATCTTCGAGTGGTCATCTGTGCATTCACACCACCCGCCCTCCTTCCCATCTGCTTTCGGTCCTCTCCTCTTGTCTTACTCTGAGACTGGTTGCAGCGGTCAGAAGGAACTGGCGGGATTGTCGTGCCCCTCTCTTAGTCATGCACAGTGGGGCCAGCACGTGATGGGGGAGCGGGTGCGAAAATCCCTTTCGCTTTCAAGAGGAACCGATCGAGGTCGGCGCAGGCGCACTATATCCCAGAGGTGTGAATGCACAGATGACCACTCGAAGATCCTCAGTTACAGGTAAGCAACCTGTTTTTACAAGGGATCAGATGCAAACATCTCTGTGCTGTGTGTACAGATGCATACTGTCTCTATTACATCTACTATAAGTGGCTATAGGTAGGTTTTGTGCCCCCACCCCTCCCCGACTTCATCACCAAATGAATGAATGCCAGCTGTGCACTTAGGAACCTCAAAACTTGCCCTGGTGACATGAGGGAGGTCAGGGTCAGGGGTTTTTTTTAACACGCAGTCTTAACTAGCCATAGATCTCTGTGGGAACCATGAAGCAAGGCCAGTGTCAGCATACCCTGAGGTGGTGCAGCTGCCAGGGCCCACTGCTGTCAACCGTTTGGGGCACTCTCTTGCTAGTGACCTATGCTGCCATTGCCACTGGGGAAAGAGCTGCAGGCAGCTTGTGAGCATGGGTGGTGGGAGGGTTTGCAAGTGGGCAGGGGAAGGACATACAGGCAGATGAGAGGCATGCAGCTGGTGGGTGTTGGCGCATGAGTGCTTGGTGATGGGCAGGATAAGGGATGGGGGGCCTGGGAACTGTCTGCCCAGGGCCTACCAAGAACTCCCTCTGCCCTGTCTGCATCCTGGTTCATTAGATGTGTAAGCTAAGACTGTGATGGAACCCAGGGGCTGACCTTCTGATGTATGAGTGAGAGGCCCATTGTTTGCGGAGGGAGAGCTTGGATATAACAAGGTGTGGGATGGTGCGGCACATACAAACATATGCATACCCACAGACCCACCCTTGCTCTTTATAGGACAAGAACCCTTTATAGGGCAGAGCCATCGGGTTTTCTTTTCCTCCTACCTTATTCCCAGATACAGGTTTGGAATCCGAAGGTGCTCTTTCGTCAGTGCAGCAGCAGTTCCTCTGATGGAGCAGGTTTTCTATCTATAGAGGAGAGGAGACAGAGTTTTCTGATTCTACCCCACCACCACTCACACATACTGCAGTTCCCAATTAGCTTCCCACGCTGGTCCTTTGGGGTCCACTGACCTGCCGTGAGAGAGGAGGGGAGAGGTACAGAAGTCACTTTCTTCTAGCATGACTCCATTTGAGCTGCATGGGATCCAAGCTGTAGTGCCCTGCTTCTACTGCAAGAAGGAATGGTGACTTTTCATTTTGTGGGGGACACCTTCTGTACTGGGTGCAAAACCAGCCCCTGGCCCTCCAGGGTGGTAGTGAAAAGAAGTAGGCTTCTCTACTTCAGCTGTTATCACAGAGTGCGAACCATTTTACTCCATCCTGTGGAATGCAGAATGTCGGCAGCTGGCGTGTTTGATTTATGGTTATATTTGCATGTGCGCGCACACACACGCACATAATCCCATGACATTCCAGAGAAAAGGGAAGGGCACTTGTCCCTACCCCCTACTCACTCCATCTGTCTAGTTCTCCAAACAGTTTTTTTTCCCCCCTTCTTCCTTCTTGGTCTTTTTTTTCTTGCATCCCCTTTTCCTGTCCTTAGGATTGCTTTAGAGCCAGCCTGTCTCCACAGCCTTCTCCCACACCATTGCTCTTTATGCTGCCCAGGCTGCATGGCAGCCACTCTAGCCACATAGCCCCATGCTAATGCTGGCCCCCATAGAGAGAACACAGCAATGGTGGTGGCCATAAAAAAACTACCCACTGCCTGTTTCTTCCTGATCTAAAAAGCTAAGAACACAATCTGTGTAATACCTTTTATTAGGACCAGCCCAATGACAAATAACATTGGGCAAGCTTTCAAGTTTCCCCAAAACTCTTCATCAGGCCAGATGTTTTACATCTAGCCTTATGAAGAGTTCTAGGGAACTCAAACGTCTGTACACCAGTATGTGCCATTGTGTTGGTCCCTAACAAAAAGTATTACATGGATTGTGTTCTTGGCTTTATGGATCTAAAATTTGGTTCAACATGGATGTAAACAACTTCTCTTCCACATTTGCTAGTCAAAAGCACTAGGCTTTTTTGTCACACTTGGGGTGCGGTCAGACGGCATGCTGAGAGCGGGTTAAACTGCTCCAGTTCTGACTTGATCTGGATAATCGCAATCACACTTACTTCCCTTATCCTGCCTCACTGCGCAGTCACGTTGTTCCCTGGCGTCTACACTACCGACGTGTGGGAGCGTGTGTCGGCAGGTTTTTAATTTTTTCCCCTCGGTTTGCACATGTGCATAGGAGCTCATCTGTAGAATGGGGGGAGGAACTACCATGGCGCATGTGCAGAGCCACCAGGGTGAATCAATCCAACCCCTCCAACAAAAGACTTCCCTTTAAACGTTTGACCCGAAAATGGCCTCCGTGAGATCCCGAACTCATCTAAACTCTAAAACAAATGACCGTTTAAATGTCGGTTTTATAAACACGGTAGCGGAGCTCCGCCTATGTGCGCACTGCCGATGCTCAAAAAAAATGGTGGGCGAAAAGCGGAAGCTTCGGGCAGCTTTCAAGTGGGGAGGGGATTTAAAGCGGAAGTGCCTTGACACCGGAGGAGCGATCACACAGGGGGGAAATGCGGCTATAAGCGGGAGAGCTGAGAAAACACCACTTTGGGATCTGGTAACAAAATACTCCGGGTTAAAGCGGTTTTGAGCCGGAAACCAATGGCTGGGGACAGGAGGCAGATGTTGACTGTGTGATTGTGCATTTAAAATCTGTTGCTGAACTGTTATGATACCAGATCAAACGGTGCGTCTGAATGCACCCTCGGTCCACCAAGCATGAACAGGGAGGGAGGAATGGTATAGACTTCAGACTTATGTATTGGTTTTAGATTTGTGAGCATGGGAAGCAGGCAAAGTAATTATTATGGTAAACCCTTGAAGGTTTTTCTGTGGTATATAGTTTATTAAATATTTGCAGGGATCTCTTCGACTTGATAAATAATTTTCTCCATGAAGGAAGTGTTGGGTAACATTGCAGGATAGCATTTAAGAATTTTGTCGAAGAGATTCTGGAACTCTGTTCTGGCGTGTCCCCCCAGAAAAAAAGCCCTGCTTGTATCCAATACTTCTTCCATGGAGCTCAAGGTAGTGTAGGTGGATGTCCCATCTTATCTTCAAAACAGTCCTGTGAGATAGGTTCGTTTGGGAGGGATTGACTGGCCAAAGCTGAATGGAAAACTTTATGGGTGGGAGTGAGTTTGAACCCTAGTCTAATCTCCATGCTCGGTCGAGCTCTGCACTGCCTCTCAATGTGGTCAAGGTTAGAAAAACATAATCCTTCAGATCAGGATTAAAAAAAACCGCTGTGTACTATTAACATAATCTGTTCAAGGTCTCCTGAAGGTGTCTGTCCTGCAGGAAGGTAAGATTCGCAGCCCCCTGAGCGTTCTCTGGCTTGTCTCCCATCTGGTGGAATGGCTTGCCTAAAAGAGGCCAGAAAGGTTCCCACACTCTTATTGTTCTGCAGAATATGTCAAACAGAACTGTTCAGGAGGGCACTGTTTATAAAATGGCAGAAAGTGAAGAGGACTTAAAGAGCCTCTTGCTCAGGGTAAAAGAGGAGAGCGCAAAAGTGGGCTTGAAGCTCAACATCAAGAAAACTAAGATCATGGCATCTGGCCCCATCACTCCTTGGCAAATAGAAGGGGAAGTCGTGGAAGTAGTGACAGATTTCACATTCCTAGGATCCCAGATCACCGCAGACTGTGACAGCAGCCATGAAATTAAAAGACGCCTGCTCCTTGGGAGGAAAGCGATGGCGAACCGAAACAGCATGATAAACAGTAGAGACATCACCTGCCAACAAAAGTCTGCATGGTCAAAGCAATGGTATTCCCAGTAGTCATGTATGGCTGCGAGAGTTGGACTATAAGGAAGGCCGAGCGCCGAAGAATAGATTCTTTTGAACTATGGTGCTGGAGAAGACTTTTGAGAGTCCCTTGGACTGCAAGAAGATCAGTCACTCCTAAAAGAAATCAACCCTGACTGTTCCCTGGAAGGCCAGATCATGAAACTGAAGCTCAAATACTTTGGCCACCCAATGAGAAGGGAGCACTCACTGGAGAAGACCCTGATGCTGGGAAAGATTGAAGGTCAAAGAAGACGGGGACGGCAAAGGATGAGATGGTTGGACAGTGTCATCGATGCAACGAACATGAAATTGAGCCAACTTCAGAGGACGGCGGAAGACAGGAAGGCCTGGCGTGATCTGGTCCATGGGGTCGCGAAGAGTCGGACTCGACTGTGCGACTGGACAACAACAAGGGTTATCATTTCAATGTCTGAAAATTGTGAGGCTGTTTTTTTGTTGCACATTGTTTGTTGGATGTATCAAACTGTTTTTAGTGATGGTGGAAAGTGTCCTATGGCAACCCTGTAGGGTTTTCAAGGCAAAAATTGAGCAGAGGTGGTTTGCCATTGCCTGCCTCTGCATAGCAACTCTGGGCTTCCTTGGTGGCCTCCCATCCAGGAAGGTAGCTTCCAAGATCTGATAAGAGTAGGCTAACCTGGGCCATCAGCGTACTGTTTCTAGTCACATTTTCTAGGGTAATAACTATCAGTCCTTTTTTAAAAAAAAAAAATCAAACGTGCAGTTCCTCTAGAGTTGCCGTGAATGTGCAACAGAATACTCTTTTCTGTGTGAGCCACTTTATTTTACCCTCTAAAACATTCAGTTTGGTGACAATGGTAGTGTTTTGTTTCACTTTTAACAACACTTGTTTCTTTTGGCCTTCGCCATCCTGCCATTGATCCAGTTAATAGTCCCGCACGTTTGCTCTTTATTCCCTACAGGTGGTGGGCAGCATGGATGCCCATCCGAGCCGATACTGTGCAACAGTGCGGGTGCAGCGGCCCCGCCAGGAGATAATAGAGGACTTGTCGTACATGGTGAGAGAACTCCTCATCCAGTTTTACAAATCCACACGCTTCAAGCCCACCCGTATCATCTTTTATCGGGACGGAGTGCCAGAGGGACAGCTTCCACAGGTGAGCAGCTGTCTTTTCCTCTGTAGTGTCAACAACACCCAAAAGGGGGCTGCGGCTGAAGTCAAATCCTACGAAGATGGAGGTTCTGTACCTGACCTGGGAAGGAGTGGATTTGGAGAGTAGGCTCCCTATCCTGGATGGAGCACCCAGAAGGTGAGGAGCCTAGGGGGTGACCTTGGATGCCTCACTTTCTATGGAGGCCCAGGTCGCTACAGTCGCCAAGTCTGCTTTTCATCATATTCAGCAGATCAGGCAGCTGGCTTCCTACCTCTCTCCCTGGGACTTGGCTACAGTAACCCATGCAATGATCACTTCCAGGCTTGATTACTGTAACTTGCTCTGTGCGGGCTTACCCTTGAGGCTGTTCCGGAAACTCCAGCTGCCTATTACTAGGAATAAGGTCAATTGTGGAATAAGGCCCATTGTGGAAGTATAGTCTTTATCCACAGTGGGGACCAGAGCAGCTTACATCATTCTCCTCTCCCCCTTTTGATCTGTACAACAAGCCTGTGAGGTAGGTTAGTCTGAAAGTCTGTTACTGGTCTGAAATCACCCATTCAGCTTCCACAGAAAGAACCTGGGTCTGGCAGACCCGGCTCTGAAGTGCTAACTGCTACACCGCACTGGCTGTCCTAGTTGAGAGCCAGTTTGGAGCAGTGGTCTAGAGCACGGACTGTAATCTGGGAGAACTGGGTTTGATTCCCCCACATGCAGCTGCTGGTGTGACCAGTCATAAGTTCTTTCAGAGCTGTTCTCTCAAGGGCATTTCTCAAGAGAGCTCTCTCAGCCCCACCTACCTCACAGGGTGTCTGTTGTGGGGAGGGGAAGGGAAAGGGATTGTAAGCTACTCTGAGACTCCTTTGGGTAGTGAAGAGTGGGGTAGAACTCCAATCTCTTCTTTGTCACAATTGCGCTGGTGGGCCAGGTACCAGAGACTCTGTCTAAAGCACAGTCTGAGATCCAGGTACCAGAGAAGACAGAGTAAAACGAGCAAAGTGCAAAACACCAAGTCAAAACGTAGCCTAGGGTTACAGGAGGTTGTATCAAAGAGTTCAGAAGCCGAAAGCCGTTCGTCAGAAGTCGGGGTGCCAGAGAGAAATGATGTCACACAAACCAGAGCCAGGAGCCGGAAAGTCAGTACGAAAACCAGGAGACAGGAACGCAGGATCCGGGGTGCAGAGAGTCGTCCAAGAGACTAGATGCCAACACAAATTGTGGATCTGAGAGAGCAGCCTAAAGAGCCCGTTCCGCTTGTTAGCCAATTACCGGCCACTAACAAGGTCCTGGCTCCAGTCAGTACTCTGGGCTTAGAGTACGTCGACCTTGCATGCGCGCCTCCTTACACTGGGTTGCCATGTCCCGTCGCCTCTGCTCTCGCAAACAAGCCACCGGTGGAGGTGAATCAGGAGGCGTGGTGCTTGTGCTTGGCTCTGCTGGCACAGCTCCAGGTGCAAACTCTCCTGTTGACTGGTGCTCATCCTCCTCAGGACTTAGGTCTGACGATTCAAGGGGTGCAGGGAACTCAACCTCGGAGGTTGAGGGTGCAGAATCCCCTGGATCAGGGTCCACGGGGTTGAGCTGCACGGTGGGCATGACATTCTTCCTCTAGAACAGGGGTGGCCAAACTTGCTTCACGTAAGAGCCACATAGACTAAATGTCAGATGCTTGAGAGCCACAAGGTGACTTCGGAGGAAGAGGTGGGTTTGGGGAAGTGGCCTGAATGTGACATCACAGGAAGGGGTGGATTTTGGTACAGGATGTGACATCATTAGAAGGTGTGGGGCTGAGGAAGTGATATCACCTGACATTTGACCTGGAAGTGACATCACAGTACATGACATCACAAAGTGCACGAAAACAGGAACAGAAAATAGCAAGGAGTGGATTCAGTCAAAGATAAGACTACCTTATAAGATACCAAAGGATTCACGTCTGACAACAGAAAAATTAGCTTGTTGCTGTCAGAAAAATTGTGTAGTTGATTAAGTATTTGATTAAGTATTTGAGATAAAAATCTATTTCTAAGATCCAAATATAGTGGGCAAACCATTACTTAATGAAACAGATCTTCAACAGAAATTCCACATAGACAAATACGTTGTTCTAGGGGAATTTTTAGGTTTTGGTACAGGATGTGACATCATCAGAAGAGGTGGGACCGAGGAAGTGCCATCACCTGACCTTTGACCTGGAAGTGACATCACAGGACATGACATTACAAAGTGATATATCCTTGTGAGGTGCCACCCACAAAGTCTCCTGGCTTCACCCCAGGTGGTAAAAACAGAGAAACAAAAGTGGTAAAAACAGATATTGCCAGATATATTGCAATACTTTGTGAAATGGCAGAGGTACCTCAGCCAGCGTGGACAAGCCATCTTCCCTGGCACTCTGCCTGCTGTTCTTCTCACCAAGGAACCCTTCCTAAGCTTTCAAGGGACTCCAAGATGTCCCAGGAGGAAGCAGAAATTGACAGCCATTGAACAGTGTGTTACAATACGTTGTACAATAAAAACAGGCTTAAAGAACACACCCTCATTTCTCTTCCTGCTCCCGTCAAACCACCAGTTTTCAAGTAGACTTAAGATACCGAGGACATGCACACCACCCATGCACAGACCGTGCTGGACCACTGCCTGCCTGCCTGCTGGACGACAGATTCTACCTTCCCCTTTCTACAGGCCCTGAAATCTCCTGCGCAGGCATGTTTTTCTTCACTTACCTACAGCTTAAGATACAAACCCACAGCATCTGTTCTTGAAGAGAAAGGCGGTCTTCTGAGCTTTCTCACCCCCTTCACTCTCCCCAGAGGCATCCCACTTAGCGTGCCATCTTAAGGACACTTTCCTGGGAATAAGCCCCAATGACTAGACCTGCTAAGGATGGCACTGTTAGATACTTGCACAAAGGATCTGCGGAAAACATTGTCATGTTGCCCTCATTCAGCCTCATCTGGAAATTCCAACCACATGGCCCCAGCCACAGAAAGTCAATCGGGTCACTTAAATCCACACAAAAATGCCTGCATCTTACCATCAAGTCCAAATATTTCACACCACGGGAAGGCAGAAGGAGAAAACAATGTTGGCACCTTTAAGTTTTATTCAGTATATGAGCTTGAACCCCCCCCCCCAAACAATACTGACCTTGGTAGGCTAAGAAAGACACAGAGAGAAAGACAAATCAAGAGGGACAGAGAGAGAGAGGGACAGAGAGAGAGAGAGGGAGGGGGAACAGAGAGGGAGAGAAAGAGGGAGACACACTGTACAGGATTCCCATGGATCTTTTTCATGCCTTTTTTGACATGATCCCTGATTTGTCTTTTTGCAAGTATCTAATGGTGGCAAAGAGCAGAGCTCTGGAAATCTGCTTCTCTAGAGCAGGCAGGGCATGTACCGGGGGAATCTACATTTCATTGGAAATGGAAGAACTCTGCAACAACTCTGCCCTGCCTGTGCAGCATTAACCTTTGCAACAATACCCTCCTCCCAAATGAGAAAAAAGGTTTTTTGTACCTCCTTGCATGACTGTTCTCCCAACCTCAAACAACAATTTCTTGCACTTCTTAACAGCGCTCATCACTTCTAAGTCAAATGAGAAGGAGGAGGAGGAGATTGGATTTATACCCCGCCCTTCACTCAGAGTCTCAGAGCGGCTTACAAACTCCTTTCCCTTCCCCTCCCCACAACAGATACCCTGTGAGGTAGGTGGGGCTGAGAGAGCTCTCCATATATATTATAAAAATACCAAATTTATTAGGGTGTACACATATTAAAATATATTCGGGTTAAAAAATTTTTATGTATCAGACTAATAAAAGCATATCAAATATTAATACACATGATGGGTCAACACTTTCCAACTGAAGACCAAACGCGTTTCGGCCTCAAAGGGCCTTCCTCAGTGGTCACTATACAACATAGTATAGACACACATTCAAACATATGTATACAAGATCTTTAGTACACTTATTTAAAGACCAGATGTTGTATCCTGAAATTATAAAAATAGAGGGAGGGGGGGAAAGAGGGGAAAAGAAACTCAAATTATTATTACAAATGTATACCAAATCCTTATTAATTTAAACAATTGATTTTTTCAAACTAGAATTACCTTATATGTTTGCAATTGTGTTACTGGTATTAATGATGGGCCATAGGTATAGCCATATCCATTCCAATTATTCTAAATAAAACCATGAAATGAAATAGTGAAATTATTATATTAATAGTTCTAATTGGCTGGTTGGCTCAGGCTGAGTCGGTTGAAATTAAACCCGGAAAACACGGAGGTCCTGGGCCTAAGTCGGACCGGTCTGGGGTTGGGGCTCCCACTCCCGGTCTTCGACGGGGTGCCATTGGTGCCTCGGCGGGAGGCTAGGAGTCTGGGGGTGCTCCTGGACTCCTCGTTGACAATGGAGGCCCAGGTAGCAGCCACTGCCAAAGCGGCCTTTTATCATTTGTGGCTGGCCTGGCAGTTGGTCCCCTACCTTGATCGTGAAGACCTGGCCACTGTGATCCATGCGACGGTCACCTCGAGGCTTGACTACTGTAACGCTCTCTACTTAGGGCTGCCTCTGTCGCAAATCCGGAAGCTGCAGCTGGTGCAGAATGCTGCGGCCAGGCTGTTGTTGGGCCTCTCTAGGCGAGACCATATTCGACCTGGGCTGCAAGCGCTGCACTGGCTTCCGATAGCATACCGGATTCGCTTCAAAGTGCTGGTTCTCACCTTTAAAGCCCTGAATGGATCCACAAACTATTCTAAAGATTGCGTAGAGATCTTTATACTCAGAAGATTTCTACACTTATAAGGGGAAAAGACACAGAATTAAGACTTTAAAACGTAAGAGAAGAAATCAAAGAATCAAGAAGAAGAGGAAAGCAACAAAAAGGATGGGAAATTTCTGAGGGAATTTCTGAGATTGATAATGGAGTTAGACCATTACATTAATATCCAGAAGAAAATAAAGAATAATGCCTTTTTATATATCCAAAGAAAGCATTTAACAATTTGTTTAGACAAAATCTATATTAGTAGAATAAAAGAAACTGTATACCTATATATTTGCAAATATTATATGATAACAGTAGGTGGGGAAATGATATAGATTTAGTTAATGTATGAGGTAGTTTAGTAGAGGAAAAGAAAGATTGAAATGTTGTACCCTAATTTTATGTTTGTTTGTAATGAAAATAAAAAAATGTTTTTTTAAAAAAAGAGTCAAGACTTTTGGATTTAGGCTTTGAGGTTAATTGAAGGCAAAAAACCACGACAAAATTATAATTATTTGTTATTAAGGTGCAAAAACATTTCAAACACCAGGCTCGATTGTGAAGGAGTAAAATAATGAAGTCTAAATATTTCCAGCATAGCTAAACACATAAAGACACAGTTCTAGTTACCCTTTCCAGGTTTGCAAAGGCAGTCAGTTCAGCAAGACAAGATGTTCACACAATCAGCCAATCCAGGCAGGAATCAAGACGGAATGCCATTGTTGGGTTGCTCGGGGACCACTGACAAGGCCATGTTGAGTAGTCTCTAGGCAGCACCATTCAATGGGAATAGCAACTAGATTTATAGGGGTTTCTGTTTGGCCCTCGGCCTTTGACCCTGTCAGAGACCAGAGAGGTGATATAACTTGTGCAGTTCCGCAGGGCCTGTAAGACGGAGCTCTTCCGCCAGGCTTTCGAGTAGGAGCTGCCACTACCACTACCACCACCACTCCTTCATAGAGTGATACTGCCGGAGGGCTGGGTAACATCTATCCACGACCCTAGCCCGCCCCCTCTGCTATGCAAGATGTTGGGAGTTTTATACGTGCAGCCGTTGGAACTGAATTTTAACTGTTTTAGCTTTTATATACTGTATGCACTTTGTGCTCTGTTGTAAGCCGCCCTGAGCCTGTTCGCGGGGAGGGCGGGGTATAAATACAATAAAATAAATAAATAAATCTCTGTTGCTAGGCTCATGACATCCCATAATGAACAAGAGCAGAGGGGAGAATTGAAATTATCTGCAGGCTAGGTCCAGTCCACCCCACACACAGATGGTGGTAGCTCAATTGCTTTGGAATGTACTAATCGGTAGCTTGGTACCATCCTCCAGCTTTTGCCCATTTGCAGACTGCTGGGTGTCAGACTCTTGAACAAACTTGCTCCCATCAACACTCTCTTGGCAGTGATTTGTTTATTGAGAGCCATTCGTGTCAGAACTGACTCCAGTGACACCAGTTCTGAAGTTATACAGGATTCAAAGAACCCCCTCCCCCCCGTTACTGGTCCAGTCAATCCATTCATTCAGCTTGCCTAAACCTAGCGTGCTCTGTTAGCCCTCCTCCCCCCACCTGTGAACTTACAGTTACATTATCTACTGCAAGCTGGCTAGCAGAGGCTGGTATTCAAGGTCGTTGTGCATTCTTCCCATGTTGGGAGGGCTCCCTTGGAAAGCAGTCGTAAAGTAGTGCAGCAAAGCAGTCTACACACCCCCACACACACTCTCACAGTCTGCCCCCCCCCCCATTCCCCAAAGTGAAAGAACAAAGCATCAAAGACAGTGAAAGCCGTACCTGTGAAATCCATGGCAAACAAGGATCCGAGTTTGACACTGGGGTGGCATTGGCACTGTGGAAACCCCTTCTGCTCTTTCATGGATTATATAAAGCAGAGTTCATTAGGAGGGGTTTTACTTGAAGACTTAGTTTCTGTTGTAGAGGTTAGCGGCTGCTGGCTTGCTCAGGTGATTGTTTAATCAGGCTTTTTTGTTTTGTAGTGTTGTCTTTCCAGGTGGTTGTATGATCTAACTATTTCATTGTAATTTGCTTCATTAATAAGAAAGAGGCTGATTAAGAAGAAAATGGCTTAAGTTTGGCAAGAAGCATGTGAACAAGCAAAAGAACATTCTTAATTAATGGTTTAATTAATTAGATTTGTACCCCACCCTCCCCGCCAGGGCAGGCTCAGGGCAGCTCACATAAAAATTGCAACAACTAAAAACAGCAATATAAATATCAGCATAAAACACAGCATAGTTACTAAAAGCAATATACAGTGGCGGTACAGAAGTAGCAACAGACGTAATAAAAATACAGTCAGCAGTTGATTTTTCTATTGGCAAGCTCAGGCTGGATGGTGGTATTGGGCACAGGGTCTTAGATTGTTAGAAGCAGCTCCTTACCTGAGTAGGACTGAGTAGGAAGAGTAAAGTTGACAAGGATATCTTTTGTTTTTTGTTTTTGTTTTTTTAATTGGCAGTTTTTTATTATGTACCATAATACAATACAAAAACACAAGAAAATATTAAATGACTCCTGCCTGTAAAGCTGACTTTCTCCCAGGTACTTGCAGCTGAACCTTGAGCAATATACATGTGGCATAGAGCCATACGTATTCCATTTTTTCTTAAACTGTTTTGATTCCAATGCTGTGATTCTCTTTCTGTGGCAAGTCACCTTAAGGCAGAGGTGTCAAGCTCATTTGTTACGAGAGCTGGATCTGACATTACTCTCACTTTGTTGGGCAGGGCCATGTGTGCCATAAAATGTAACATGAGGTACCGGAGATATAAACTTTATAAAGATGATTTCAGCAGGCTTGATTGGATTAGGTGTGATATGCAGAAGGGTAGTAGGCATGGAGACATCAGCATTGGTAAAGAGACAGGAAATCTAGGTCCTAATTTGGTCCAGGAGGTTTCAGTCCAGGAGGATTCAAAGAATAAATGGAAATAAGTGTAAAGAAGTGAGCACTGACTCACGTAAGCTCATACCCTACCACAAATTGTGTTAGTCTTTAAAGTGCTACTGGACTCTTATTTTTTCTACTGCTATTAAAAACCACAACGTTCAAAAACCTGTGGGGGGACATTTTAACCTTCTAGGACATTCAGTTGCTGACCTAAGAGTAGCACTTGTCTTACAAAGGAATTTCAAAGGGAGATTAGAAAGACAGCTGAATTGCAACCGATAATGAAGCTCAAGACAATGCATCCTCCTAGACTGAATTGAGATCTAGGTTTCTTCTGTTGTTATCAATGCCTATTATTGTCATTTCGTGTCTGAAATCACTCCACTCCCCAAGATATAAGGACAGATGGACTCATATTCTAGCTGTATCTGAAGAAGTGAGCAGTGATTCATGAACCCTGCCACAAATTTTGTTAGTTAGGGTGCTACTGGACTCTTGTTCCCATCTACTAATAAAGACTACAAGCTTCTCTCCCCCC